CGAGAGGACGAGATCCAGGAACTTCAGAGAATGATTTACTGATAAACGCACCATTACCGCGAAAATGGCCATCATCAAGAAGAAAAGCATTGTGCTTAGGGAGAATCCACGTCCAGCTCCACCAGTTGCAATATCCACTGAAAAATAGACAATTTATGAAATTTATTAGATTCGGCTTTGAACTTTATGTAAGGATAACCACCGATTCAGATTGTTACTGATTTTCTGCATGCGGTCGCGTCATCCAAGTGCTGTGGAAACGATGCTAGGAGTAACCCTATACACGCAAGTGCAGAGGGGAATCCGGAGTGCCGAACTACGCCAACGATCGAAGATCAGGGACGCTGCCGTTTTCGCCAAGGAATCGAAGATAAGGTGGGCCGGACACGTCATGCGATTTTGCGATGACCGTTGGACCAGAGCGGTTACCGACTGGATCCCTCGGGACGTCAAACGAACACCTGGACGACCGCCGGCCCGATGGTCAGACTTCTTCACGAAAGCTCTGAACGAAATCTCGACTATGTGTCCATCGAGCGATGTACATCCACGGAGGCATTTTGGCACGCGACACAGTTGATTGGATACGTTGTTGGCGCCCGCTCGGAGAACTCAATGATCATCGGGGCGACAGGTGCTACATGCGGTTTCTGATATTTTACAGCAGTGGGCATGATAAGCAGATCGAAGTACATGCATCTATTTCGTTCTCCACATCAGCCTGGCTAAAGCAACTTCCACTGAAGGTAAAAGGTAACCTATCGCGCTTTTACTCAGCGCCTCCACGCCTTTCAAAAGGTTTCTTTTAAGGTAAATATTTAATTTTTTCAAGATAATGCCAAAGTTATTGACCAGTAAATTCTTGTATTTTCTCCACTTATCTCCGCTGGCCAGTGCAGACCACATAACACAAAAGACGACATCCTCTGAGTGAATCTTATAACTATTACTTCATAGTGATAGACAATAGTTGATGTCTGTAATTAGTGACAACTGATGAATACAACTGCAACAGGCTAATCATTTCATTGGCAGAAAACATTACATTTTGTAAGGCCGTCGTCACTTGTGGTGTATGGTCTGCACCCGACGCGCACTTCGCTGCCGGAAACACAGGGCATATGTTATGTTACTTGATGGCCTGCATTAGAAACAGCCCACCCTTTCGTAACTTTTATAACAACCACGAAAACAGCTCTCAGCGAATGTGGGGGTCGGAACTACAACTTCCATAAAACAACTTGAAGGAGAGCATCGATGAGATACTACATGGTAAGTCGTTACCCAAACTGCGTTTCCAATAAATAAGCTACCAATTGACCATAACCACACTGTGGCTAGACCAAAATCCTTCCCGACCCTCATCGTCGCATCTACTCAGTTCTCGACCAAACCGACTGAAGTGAGGGCCAGGCGCTTGTTCCTCTAAGCTTCAGGTGGCCGTAAGGTATGCTTCGCCCGAATCACAAGCAGAGGCCTACCGTGGAAAGGTGCCGCATCTCTCCCCGAAAACTATCGGGAAAGGCCACGCACACCGTTCTGCGGGAAGTCTCCCCGATTGACATGCAATCGGGGAGATATACCCGTGATTGACATGCAGTCCGGGAGACATCCCGAGAAGCGGTGACATTGCCTTTCCCCGAGTTTTCGGGGGAGCATACCCTACCAGGTGAGGGGTCCCTCTCCTGTTCGGAGAAGCATACCTTTACAGCCTCCATGTTCGGAATTCACAAGTTTAAATTTCAATCCAAATTTGCGCACTGCACGCATATATTAATGATCGATTTGAACCCACTTCACCCACAATTATTTTGATGGTCATTAGAAAGAATATAAATTGAATGAGACACAAAAAAACCAAAATTTCTGACCTGCACATTCAATAAGGTCAGCAGGAGTATCCCCTTGACACATACATGCGTAAGGACGATCATGCCACTCAACCTCAAGATCTTTTTCTGTCTTACGGTAGACTGCTCGAGGCAAACACATCTGTTCGCATCCAGAGTTTTGACACTGCAAAAAGATAAGCGGACCATACTGCAGCAAATAAAGTTACAAAGTCTGATCGGAACAGACGTAACACACCTTGTTATCAAATTTAGGCTGCGCTTGTCTATGATAGATCCTGACCGTCATGGGTGTCGAAACTTTTTGCATCACCGTACGCATTTCACCTCCAGTAAACTGGAAATATATCAAGGAGATAGCATTCAACAAGCAATTACAGATGAGAAATTAATTTAATATCAGTATCGTGAAATATTTGCATTGTAATAAGCTTAACCTTGTTGATGGTGATAACTCCGTCATGCTCCCAATCGGTGTAGTAAATACGATCCTCAAAAACAGCGATGGAAAACGGATGACGCAGATACTGGTGTGAATGAAGAATAATCTGCAAATGAAGAAGTGGAAACTTGCACGAAAACATCCCTGTTTCCTTTTTGTTGTCAGCTCTGAAGTTTTGTTCGTAACCCCGTATTCTCAAGAAATATTGTTAGATAATCAATGAAAAGAGTGGAGTTGATGAGGAAACATTTCAATACGCTCAAACACTCTGATTCTGGAGACAAGGCCGCTTTCATGCTTTACATAATTTCTACGCATTCTTCACATTCTATGCCTCCGGAAATCATGAAAGTGGCCTAAAATTGTTGATGACGCAGTCGACACACTCGGAGTACACATGTTGATGACGTGTTCAACCCCTACAAGTCCTACCCAAAACCTGTCCAATTTCTTGCACATGATCAGTGGCACACGCACCTTGATTATCAACACCCTTCAACCTCTATGAAAGCAAAAATGTCCATCCTCTGACACAGAGTACTTCTTAGTATTATTAATAACCTAAATGTGAGAGCACCTCAGGATTACATCCACTGTCACCCGTCACTACAAAGAAGTATGTTCAAATTTCTTGACTGCGTGTTCTCAACACATCTTACCATTAGCGTAAGGGACTCTTATCCTCACACTATGATTGGTGTTGCAGCCGCGAAATAACCTCCCAATCTCTATTTTCAGACCCATAACCTAAAGGGAATAAAAACAAAAAAAATCCACCGCAATGAATCAAAAAAGATCTACAAACCTTTACGTCGCGGCCCCAGTAATCGCATGAGAAAATTGATTTTACTTTGGCATCTGCCCAATACACACGCTTGTCAATATAATCTAGAG